TCAGTACTGATCTCGACTTCAATAGTGGTTCACGACTTCTCGACATAATGTTTAAAAAAACGTTTTTGTATTCTTTAGCTTTAATCGTAGCTGTTTTAGGTTTTAGTTCTGCTAAAGTTGCACGTGAGTTTTTTTAAACTGCCCGTTTATATTGTTTTTTTTATTTATAAATATTGTATAGCTATTGGGTAATTGTTTTAACGATTTATTTCGTATTTTCGTAATTTAAAAACTTTTTTTTAAATTTAGAATTATTTTAATTTCGTTAATTATGTATTTTTTGTATTTCAGCCGATTACATTAAAATATGTCCTGGTCTAAAGTCGGATTGTTTGAAAAAAGTGATACAAGAAACTTTACCGCTATTCGCAAAGGGTATTCCTGAACTAGGAGTTGATCCAATTGATCCGTTGAAACAAGACAAACTTGATCTGGAACTCCCTGGTGGATTCAAAGTGGAATTCCGCAATGGCACGGCTACTGGATTGAGAAAGTGTACCATTGATTCAGTAGTGTGAGTAACTTTTTTTTAATATTACGCAATATTTGATTACTAAGTTAGATGATCACTAGATGTTAACTTGATATTGTTATTCTACAGAGTCAAATCTATACTAATTTTTAAAACTGCACACTCACACCCGGATTCCGAAAGGCCGATCAATGTTAAAATCAATTTAATCTCTTGTCAAATCATCTGATTGGTTGACTGAATTATCAACAACCAATCGGATAACTTGACGAGAGATTTAACAGGAGATTAGTTAATTTTAGCGTTGACAAGCCTTTCAGAAACTGGGTGTTAGTTTGTTTATTTTGCACGCTAATAATCTCCGCAACTGCTGGTTCTAATTGAACAATACTTTTTGTGTTGAATAGTTCATTCATTGAAGATGACTACAGGCTATCAAACATTGTCATGATCAATAAGAGCCCGGGCAGAGATTAAAACCACTAAGGAGTAGTTTTTTTAAATATAACAATATTATTATTATGCAAGCTACTCTCACACGGTTTTACCCGCTGCTCGTTTCCATTTGATCGTAGCGTGATGTTTTATAGCCTATAGCACCCAGGAACATTGTAGCTATCTATCAGTGAAAGAATTTTGGCAATCCGACCAGCGGTTCCAAAGATTACCCCCTACATACAAACATAAAAAAAATTATATTAGTATAGATTAACACGATAGACTTTATCTCTTAAAACGACTTAGAGATACATTTGTGGCTTATTTTTAAATATTTTTTTAATTAAATATTATAGAAACAGTGATTAAGGTTATTATTTTCATTACAGATACCAAAATTCAGAAGCTAATTTAAAAATGCACTGTGATTTGAGCGTCAAAGGAAAGTACAAAGCTAATGGAAGGATATTGATTGTATCAATCAACGGTGATGGTGATGCTAAAATTAGAATTAGTAAGTATATATTTAGTTGGTAATCAAAGTCAAGGACAAATCGTTTATTTTAATTTCATGATTAAAGGTACTTTGGATGTGAAATTAAATAATGGGATTTAAGAAGTTAAAAAATGTCCGTCGTCTAGTGAAGATATATTATGCTCGACCTAGTAATACACTTAGTAAGTACTAGGTTTAGGGCAAGGGCTGAAAAAGGGGTAGATGATTTGTATGAAAACATGTGCCATGTTATCGCACCAATGGGCTGGCTCGATCGGAGTGATACCAAGGCTTTACAAAAAACTGGCGTGAAAAAACAATACAGTTTTCTGTGTAAGGGAGGTTCTGGAGGCGCAACTTCCCTTTTCATCCGCCCTAATTAACAAATGCAACACTTAAAACTAGTATTTTCATCAATGTATTTACCGACATATCTCGTATAAAGAAAATATTAATTAGATGGGTGATGGTAAGTCTCTACGAGATATACCTAAGCATTTCCATCAAAATTATTATATACAAAAAAAATCTAAAGTAGGTACAAATAGATTTTCATGTCATAAAAAAGAAGCCTATAATAAATGTATATCTAAATTATGATTCATTAAATTTAGAGAATTCATCTAAATATTTTTTCATTATTTGCAGAAAATGTTGCGTTGGATGCCAAAATTAAGTTCCATGACGTCACCAGAGACGGTGTTGTATACCATGAAGTAAAGAACTTGAATATTAAGCAGAACTACGGAGACAAAATCACATTCGGTCTCACTAATCTATTCCAAGGAAACCCCCAATTGAGTAAGTAAACTCCTTATTTTTCTTTCTTTTCTAAAAAAAGAAACGTCGCACTTGCATTTAGATTTTCTTCTGTGTTGTGGGTGCGTTTACAAACATACAATTTAACATACACACCACATCACTAGATCCGATACAACAAATTGAGGATCAAACAAAGAGTTGTTCCGTGCGGGAATCGAGTCCGTGACACTGCGCGGCCACCGCGCCAACCATGCAGTCGACTACTTCTTTAGTAGACTTTTTTATTTTACAAGTTCTTATTTTACTTGCAATATAAGTATGTATTAAGTCTTGGTTGCGATTAAAGCGCAATGAAGTACCGCGCACTTGGCCGAGACCACGAGAAGGAATGGGGTTTTTACTAAGGAAGACTGACACTCCCTCACGCCATAGTCCAGACGAAAAATAGAATCTAACTACTCAAAAAAAAAAATTAATAAGTATGTGCGTTGGTATGTAATAAAAGTACGAATGTATGTGTGTTGCTTTCTTAGGTGAAATCTTGCAACTTAATTTTGATCTTTAACCGGTAGAGTTACAATTCGTATATGCACATTTGTATTTGAATTTATTTGGATCTCCAACAAAGATTACACCTTACAAGCTAAAAATAGAACATAAACAGATACAAATCCTTGTGCACCTTCAATTATAGGTGACCACAACTTGCATTAAGATATTAATTAATCAATTATTAAGTAATATATGGAATAAAGTAAAAATTAAGTTGCAAGTTTCCACTTCAAAAACAAACATGCATACATTCGTACTTTCATTACATACTAACGCACATAATTATTTATTTATTTAATTTATTTGTCTGTTTATTCACTTTAAATTGCATGACCATCTATCTACACATTACTCCCAGTCCATGAAAAATTATTTGAATCTTATATTATGCAAATAGTACCAGGATGTGATAGGCTTTGTTTTCACAAAGATTTTTTTTATATTTTACAGTGAATTTTCTTTATCGTGTTATTTCTGTAACTGTTTCATAAAAACTCGATTCGTTTTACATTTTTACTTGTCGCACAATGTTTTTCAAGAATATGAACCCCAGTGTGACTTGAAATTAGTCGAGTTTCTCCTCAAACAGAAACACGCGAATACCGTTTAATACTCGTATAACAATAATTGAATATATGTAACGACATGAAAATTGAAAAATGTATTTAAAGGTTTTTAAAATATCGTTTAACGATTATAACTGGCTAGAATCAGGATACTTAAAAAAATGTACCTACACAGTCAAAAATAAAAAATACATTATTTAACCTATGTGTCACTTTAATATGTTTTTATTTCCACATGCAGAGACGTGATTTTTATTGCGTTGAAAATTTGATAAGCATTTTTTGTTAATTAAATTAAAATATATAAAAATACAATAATATAATTGTCTCTTACAACAGACAAATAGAAATAAAAACTAATTGCTTCTAAAGCAACAATAAGCAATACTATATCTTGGTAGTAGCAGGTATATCTTAAGTTTTATTAGAATTACAAATTTCAATTTTCATAAAATGTAATAAAATTCAGTTTAAATTGCATTTATGTTATACAACTAGCTAAGTAAATGTCGTTCTGGTATAAAAATGTCAAAAGAGGTTCTGATTCTTAAAAAAATAATTTAAATGTGCTTCGAATGCCATTAATTAAGTATTCATACTGAATAATACGCATATAAGGAATTGAAGGTGAACTTGCTATTTTTTTATTTACTCTGCAAGTTAAATAAATATTAATATAAAATATACTCACATTAATGTGGAAGAACTGACGCAGAATTTATTTATTTTTTATTATGTGTTTAAAGTAAAATTGTTTTTTTATTATTATTATTTTTATTTTATAATGTTAATTTTCGGTCTTAAGGATGATGATAATTTTTATGATTTAATTAATATTACGGAAACGATTTTTACTGTGCCGGTTATTTGCGAGGATTGTATAAATTAATATATTTTTATAGCTTATTTTACTTCCTATATTATGATATATAGCTGTTGGATATTGGAAACAACATGAATTTTGATTAGCAAGTTTTACCTACGAAAAATTTACCTAAGGGCCTATTATACCACTATCATAAAAATCCCGATACACTTAAGATACACAGATGTTTCATACAAGTTACGTTCTGTATTCAAAATATTAAAAAAAAATCTGGGTACCCTTTATCCATATTTTATTTAAATAGTCGTCATTTTGAACGAAATTTTATGATTATTCGAAGTAAATTGTTGTGTATTTTTTGTGAGTTACGGTAAGAAACTGACTTTAATTCTAAAATCGAAATCACCATCTTGGATTACCACAAACGTGGTGATCAATGTAAGGTTTGGTCGTACGAGAAGAGGCTTTGGTGTACATGTAAATAATCGAAGGACATATCTATTCTAACTCTATATTGGATAATTTATTTAAAACTTTGTACATAGTGGGTACGTAGGCGGATAATGAATAATGCCCAAGGCATTAAGGCCTTTGGTGATGCAGAGATAAAATTATTTAAAATGGTTTTAAATGATTTTTTTTAAATGAATACTTCTTGCATTAAAAACTATCACTTAATGATGTGTATGTGAATTTGTATGTGTGTAAACGCACCCACGACACAGGAGAAAATCCTAGTGCGGGGCAACATTTAAAAAAAATAGAAAAATAGTTCATTTTTTTATTATAACTTTCGTGAGATTATGTTTTCGGCTTACTCACGTAATAATTCGAGTTCTTTTTTGGTACAGAATTGTATTGGAAATGAATCTAATTATTGTAATTTTATCACCAGGTGAAGCTGTGCTCCAGTTTTTGAACCAGAATTGGAGACAAGTGTCTGAGGAATTTGGTAAACCTCTTGTTGATAAAGTCGTCGACATAGTTTACAGTATTGTGAAGAAATTCTTTGAAGCTGTACCGAAAGATGAACTGTTTGTCGAGTGATATTTTTATACGGACTGCTAGACATAATTCGATTTGGTTGTGAAATAAATAAAGAAGGATTTATATTTTATAATAAAAGATTAAGAAAAAATAAATAAAATAAATTGAGTTTTATTTTGTTTAATTTATATAAAATGTAGATAGCATCGCAAACCTTTATAAGTTTTTAATTTCTCGCTAAAGTTGGCAAAGAAGTTACATATATTTTTTAGTAATTTTCAGTGTCATGTCATAGGAGGCCGGCTTAATGCTACATACGGGGAGAGAACTAAATTTCAAACTAAGTAAGTGAAACTTTTAGTTACGTTTCGGAAAATTGAAAACTTACCAATAACAATTTTGCAAGGGCAAAAATCGATACTGAGAAATTCTCGACATCGATGTACGTGGGTAGGCAGGCAAAGGTACTTTCTACATAGAATGTATTTGCGACCGTCTCATTGACGCGGCAGTAAAAATGGTAGGTTAGCAAGGTAAGGCTCTAATATTAGAAAAAATAAATAAATAACATACCTGTAAGAATGAATACGGAAATGTAAATTCACCCCATACTATGTCCTTTATTAGACCTGAAAACATAAAAAAAGTTTTAAATTATTATAAACATTGTACACTTAAACTTACTACACTTTAACAGTAACTTTCTCTAAATATTTTTTTCAACACCCTGGATGTGTTTGTAGATCAAAAATATTTCTGAAAGCAAACATTTTATTTGGGTCGCACTGACATATTATGATATGTCAGTGCGACTGCACGATTGATGCAGGGGCCAGCCATTTGGATGTCCTGGATCGTGAGTGCGTGTTTGATTCTCGCACCGAACAAATCTTTATCTAACCGACAAATTATTGTTTCGGGTCCGAGTGTGATTAAATTATTGTATATTTGTAATCGCACCTACGATACAGACGGAACCTGTAGTTTGGGGCAAGATGTAAAAAAGTTTAACTTAACAAAAGTATGATAACTTAAAAATATGATAGGGTATACATCGTTGAACGGGAACTGCCAGTACAGTTTGAGCACTCCCAGAATTAAAATAGTAATAGGATAAAATTTAACACCTGGTAAGACAGTAAAGTTACAAATCATACACACATAAACACATAAACGCTTCATCAAGATAAACAAAATGTGACTGAATTCAGAATTTCCCTCCTTATTTATTTAGTAAAAATTAATAAGTATCACTCTCAAGAGAAAAATAAAAGAGTAAATACAAATAAAGTCTCTTTGACGCTCCGTCACCTATTTCCAATTTCAAAGTATCCAAACAAAAAAGAATCGGCCTGGGTACTTGTGGATACTTTATTAGCGCTGAGGTAACGAGATCAGCTTCGCGACCTCGTTGTGAAGTCGAAGTGAAGCCTTTTGATATTGTACGGACGGTCACGAGGTCATATACATCGGTACATTACTGTTTTTATCTACATCTACTGTTTTATTTGAAATCGAACATAGCTTTAATGTGGGTCGTTTGCTTTACTCTGCTGCAGATAATAGCGCAGTGTATTAATTGAATGGCTTTAACTTATTTTTTGCCTATCAGTTATAATTTATATTCGTCGTTATTATAGTTTCTTTCTGAATAGCTTCAGTTGTAATTTAAGGCGTCGAAAGTAAACAACGCTAAAGGTTAAATTAAAACGTACGAGTATAGCGTAGATCTCGTGAAACATTGCTTGAAAACTAGACTCATTAATGGATAAATGACTAAGACTTTAAAGAGTAAAGTAAAATAATAAAAATGACGTCAGAATCCCAAAGAAATAATTAACTAAAAATTAAGTTCTATAGAATTTCAAGAATGATTAATCCGAACCATGTTTATATAATAATGATAACTTTAGTTATAATAAAAGAGATTGCTTACCCACAGGAAAATCGAACGGGTAAATCAGATAAAAAAAATCCGACATAAACCCAAAAGGATGAAATGTCTGCTCCAATTTCAGCGCGGGTATTAAATATGTTTCTTTTTGTGGTAAATTACCGAATCTTATTTTACTTCTGTCCTTTTCCTCGAACCAATCTTCTGTATAACTTGCTACTATGTCACTTTGAGTTACTGATTTTTCTGTAGAGTTGAATACATCAATTGATTCCTTGAAAACCTCTCTTGTTATCGGTATAACTTGAACTGTTGTTTTGGGTTCTACAGTGGTTGCTATTGTAGTCACTTTCTTCACAACTGTTAAATCAGCCTTCTGTTGACGCCTTTCTTCTGTTTTAGCATTAAGAAGATTGTTGTACTTCTCCAACCAAGCTTTTCCCGCTGTCGAATTGAAATACAAATTTCCTGCATCTCTCTTTTTCCATAAACTTCCAAATTCTTTGCTCCCTTGATATCTATAATCATGATTGTCATTTTGTGTATCCGGTGTCTTTACAATGTTTTGCGGAACGTCCTTAAAAGTTGTTTCTAAACAGTTGTCCCAAACAAGAGATTCAGCTTTAATAGTTTCTAGATTTTCTGCAGAATCCTTCAAATATTTTTCGCTATTTCCTCCGTCCCTTCCATCTAAAAGTGAGTTACCATTTTCGCGGCGCGCATATTTTTCATCATTGGTTTTCTTGTTTTTCATCAAGTAAATTGTGGAGATTGCTTGGAAATTCTGTTCTGGTACATCCAAGGCGGAGGCCGGTACCGTGCCGCCAACATCATTTAGATTGTTTCCGGCGGAGACCGCGAGCGTCGTTTCCGATGTCGTTTGAATTTGTTGGATTTGCGTCGGAAAAATGGCAGTAGCTTCTAGTCCTTCTGATAAACTGTTTATGTTCCTTCCTGAGTTCGGGGTAGTTAAGCTCGTTTGCGAGTTGACTCGATTTGCAAGCACGAAGAGAATTATAGAAATAGTCACCATTGCGATGTCATATTTGATAATTTTATTTAGTTTATTTCTCCACGACTGTGTGTCGTAAGTGTCGAGTGTTGACTGAGTTGTGGGGTGACGGACATTCGACGAGGGATTTGTAGCACTTAGTAGTCTGCCCAGCCACGTTGCACAATCGTACCACGGTAGCAACGTTCCTACTGTTCCTTTAGTGGATTATGTGAAGAGTAGGTTTACTGTTGTAACACGCTCATAACTACTTATTATTTACATTAAATATTGTTACCACTAATTTTGTGTTACATGAACAAACCTGTATGAAACTTTGTACAAATTTTAAACATTTTAATTCCTTTTAGGCGTATTTTATTTCAATGATTATTTTTTTCAAGTTTTTTATTGTGCTCACGAAATTAAAATCTAACAATATATTTCAATTATTTCTGTTCTAAAGACTTTTATCGGGAAATGTAGGTAAAAAACTCACGGGCTAACAATTTAAACCCAGTGTTAACAAGTAATATTGAAAAACGCTGTATAAGTCAAAAGGATGTAATTATAGCAAGACTTACAAGATTAAAACAACATTGGATTAAAGTAAAAACCATTGCAAGTGGATAATCTACGGAGATTATTTTAATCGCGTTATTTCGGTTACGTATTATCCATAAACATGGAGAAATATATGGTAATTTTGAAGTTTGCCTGACAGCAGCTTTGGTCAGCTTACCTTCAGATAGTAACTATTTACAATAGTTACACCGTTTATTCTAATGATACTAGAAATTAAATACAAGCATTATGTACAACATAGTGTAACGGACAAAGCACTCAAAAGACAAAAAAAGAGAAATGAGTTAACTTCGTTATCGACGAAGGTAATTATTACAGCAAAATTACGTTGAGAAACTCAAGACACCTACTAAAATTGTGAAGCGTATAACGAGATAGAGAAAAAAGATTTTAATCGGAACCTTAACTTAAATAACGTTTGCAAGTAAGGTGGAAAATATACAATTTCCATGGTAAAAAGAGAAAATCTTATAAGTTTTTACATAAGAATATGGGGTAAACGTTCTGTTCAATGAAGGTAGCTCTTACAAAAGTCTCATATAAAATGCATGCTCGCCGTCTAACCAACATCGTGATTACCAGTCAAGTTGAGCCCAGCTCTATTACCGTGCCTTCGTGTTTTAAATGTACGTAATTTAAAATTTTGACACGATTTGGTTTACATTTTTGATGTAATATGTTATTATTGTTTATAAGTGTCCTGTTTATCAGTGGTGCAGATCGCTAGATGATAATTCACCAAGTGATTCATCTTCAGATTTGGTTCACGCCTTATAAACGAGTAGCTAATCCATTAAGCCGAACAGTCCTACCTTAAATCATTTGTCAATTTAACCATAAAGTAATAAGTGTTTGTTCTGAATTAACAAATTATTATCTTAATCATGAACATTTTAAACCATTCCCCAAACCAATAGGTGGCAAAGTTCATACTAACAACTATTTTCGTTGACGTTTTTCAGCTATCAAGAAAAATGTGACGTAAAAACAAATTTCCCAGCACTTACCGATCGGATTTCCTTTGCATCCATACATAAAGTATTTGAATACAGGCGTCCAAGTTGAATTATTCATTCGACTTGTACGCGGGCTCAACGGATACTATTTGAAATGCAATCGCGCATTATGTGAGACTTTGCAACTGTTTGTCACTTTTCCAAACAGATTTAGAAATTTGTTATGGATTTTCGCAGAATTTAATAGCTATTTGAGAAAATGGATCAACTTTCTAGGAAGTTTCATTAAAATTTCTTTATTTAAGATGTATACTGCGATTGTCTAGGTATGTCGGTACATTAGCTACCAAAATAAATACCTATATAACGTGAGAATAGTGGAATATCATCAAATAATACAAAATCTTCCCTTATGAATAGGAGATTTATTTATTATAGGTATCATTAAGTCAAAACCATATCATTAAAATTTCCCAACCTTTGAAGAACAACAAGAAGTATTTTAAGAATGTAATAAGGGCCAAACCAAACGGAACATAAAAGCTGTTCTATTTATTGAATCCGGAAACGCACCTGACGTAACACTCAGAAAACGCTAACAAAGGATCCCTCACTTCAGAGGTACGCATAAAATATTCCTTTATTGAATTTCGCAAAACAGGTGCAACAGAAAGATCTGATCTTAACGTATAATCACACGTTTTGTTCTCCGAGTGTAAAAAAGAAGTGCAAATCAAATTGTATTTACATTTGTATTTATGAAAGGTATTAGTGACTATCTAATCACTTTCGAAGAAGGCAAGACACATCATCTTTCTATTCCCTATTATTCTATACATACAATAACTACTATCTACTTCTAGTATGAGTGAGTAAGAGCTAATGGATCTTTCACACGCATCTGAGTGCATTTTGTTTCACACAAACAGAATATTTCTAGACGTAAGTGCGATCGGACTTTTAACCGCGCGCAAGGCGTGTGACAGCAATTTGAATACCGTAAACATCGCGTTTCAGGTCTCAACCATTCCCAAGCATTCCTCTAAAATCACCTTCCCAAACGTCACAAGCACCACTTGAAAGTTCACAGCAATATGCACTTTAGAAGCAAAGGTGTGAAAAGGGTGAAGTGACTTTTTGCGTGGCACTAGAAATGGGGGCACGCGGCCGTTACTGTATGTATGTGTGTTGAGTAAACAGACTGCTTTTCTTTCAGGCTGAGGTTTGCTTGAGATTTTTTTAAAGGTAAATTGACTGGTCGCAGGTGGTTGAAGGGAAACGGGTCAGCGGGTCTCGGTGGCGTGTCATGTTCATGTATCACCAGGGTCGGACTTGACCTAATGACATAATTATTATAACATTTACGAAATTTGGATTAATTTAAAGGTTTCGGTATAGAAGTTATGTCGAGTAACTAGGTAATATTAAATGTTCCAAAAAAGTTCCTTAAACTCCTTATTTGTAGATTACAATTATAGTACCGTCGTTTGTCAACCAAAAGTCATCAGATCAGAAAGCAGTGCAAATAAATTTAAAACAAGATCACACGATGTATGTTTATTTTCGTACCTTCATTTATTATTCGCCCTCGAGACATCTGGTATTTAAATAGTTGTTTTCAACATTTAGTTGTACCTACTGTGATTGTAATTGATAAAAGTAAAATATCATATTTTTTTTTTTTAGTTTGTAACTCCATTTATTGATTCAATTTACGTCAACACTGCACTTATTTTATTTTTACTTTTCGTTACTGCAATAATTCGTTTTAATAAAAGTTATTGAACAAAAAGTGTTTATTTCTTGGCTTAAATTGTACGAAAGCCGCTCTGTTTAATCATGACTTTTGAGAAGGATTGCAATAATATAAGTTTTCCTAGAAATTCTAATGAAAAACTACATGCCATTTTCCCTTGTTATGAATGGAAGTTAATACCAAATCTGAAGGTACTTTTTTACTGAAGCCAAGTGATAATAAAAAGGGCATAGCGTTTGATGAATCAAACGCTTTTATTTACCTTAAAATAATTAATAGTCATAATCCTATGCCAATTTCATAAATTAAAACGGTATGTTTTTATTGTTTAATAGCTTCAGTAAATTCAAAAGTATGATTTCTATTGACCAGATTGTTGAGATCACATTGACATAAAAGCAAGCTATGTGAAAGAACCACTTGAGACATCTTCAAATGTGAAATGAACTCATAACTGCCGTCAAGTAGTCCCAGGGTCGTCTTTCATCTATCTTGTTAATTGAAGCCTTAATTAATAATTGGGAACATGAATGATACCTGCCAAGTTCCTTGACGACAGCACTAGGTAATCAATAGTAGGACTTATTGATTTGTTGTAATTGGTAATGTCATAACATATGTATTACCATACAGACTTTCTTTTATGTATAGACATCGTAAAGAATATTGATATATAATAATAATATGTTTAATTAATTCATAATTTTATTGTTTGCATTCCAAGCGTTAAAATATTTCATTATTAGTCAGTAAGTGTCCACTGCTGAGTAAATGAGTCTTCTCACCAAGATAATGTTTGAGCATTAATCACAACTTTTGCTCAAGGCGAATCGGTGATTACAAATATTATGGTTATTAATATAATGGTTTATAATTAGAAATAAGTAATTTTTTCCTCAGCATGTTTTTCTTCACTGTATGTCAGTGGTGGCTTACTGTTATTAGAAAGTACATGTAACATAGAAAAAGGTGATAAAGCTTAAAAAATAATTTCTAAAATAAGATTAAAATATTACTTCTCACATTCATGACCGAGACTTTCTTTTTTATTTTACGTACATAAATTTTTGTATAGTAAAGAAGCAAGAGTGTGGGAGAGCCAAGCTTTGGCACGAATGGGTCGGCTCGACGGGTGTGATACCACCGTCTCACAGAAAACCGGCGTAAAACAACCACAGCGTTGTATTTTGCCATGTGAGGTTACCGGAGGCCCAATTCCTCCCCCTAGCCTCATCCTTTCTCAATTCTTAAATATCCGAAACCCTAGGGACAACTAAAAGGCCAAAAAACGCACTCGTAACTCCTTTGGTTGTCCATGGGCGGCGCTGATTGCTTACCTTCAGGTAATCCATCTGCTAGTTTGCCATAATTATCCCGATTACCATAAAAAAATAGTAATATTTTTACAACATTTTCATTTTTTAAAGTTTGTGCAATCCAAGTTCAACCCTGTTGCATCATATTTCTATTAATTACCGCGTCAACTGGGGCGCGTCCCATCTTCGTGGCCAGAGCATCTTGTAGCATGTTTTTCTTGCACTTCTCGCCTCGTATGTGGAGGTAAGTAATTAACGTTAAGATACTGGAATAATCCACCTTCATTTTGGATATTGCTTTAAAATTCTTCTTGTCTATATAATATATAAAAATCAATGCCACTTTTCGTTGTAATGTTATAACTCAACAATGCCTTTAAAGATTTGGGTAATTTGGGTCTTGAATTAAATTAAAAAAAAAGGGATCTT